TAGCTTCTGGTAGCTTCAGGTATTCCTTGGCTTTTAGATGGTGTTCTCCACGTCTTTGCATTGTTTTCCTTCCCATTTGTGTCTGTGTCTAAATTTCCCTTTTCTCAACGGACACAGTCAAATTGGGTTAAGGCTCATCTTAATTATCTTGGTTTAACTTGGTCATCTGCAAAGACCTTATTTCCAGATAAGGTTACATTCACAGATACTAGGGGTTAAAACTTCATCTTTTTGGGGGACACAATTCAACCCATGACGGGTGAGTTGGGGTTATATTTCAAAGAGTGGTAAAGCCATTGTTTAATATGTTACACTTTCCTTTTAGACAAATGGGGAGTCATTAAAGCTTTTTATGCAAAGAAGTAACACAAACAGTTCTGACTGTGATGTGAAAAGGTGCCCCCTAAAGTTGAGGGCAAATAGTAGATTTGAAAACTATCTCTATTGTTAAAATACAATATCAGCTATCACTAACTGAATAACTTAACTCTGTGCTGTGTACTTACACTGTGCTAGGTAATTTGCATATAAAGTCATGGGATTTTGTAAGGATGGAAGTATTATTATAATCTATTTTTTAAATATGAAGAAACCAGGATTTAAAGAAGAACACAGAGTGGGAAAAAAGAGAGATACAGATAATTTGTGCCATTTAAACATGTTAAGCTTGAAGTGTGGCTGCATATTCCTGTAGTGATGTTAAAGTTGGCAGTTTAAAATTTGGTTCTGGAATTCAGATGAGTCAGAGTAGAGGATAAATACTTAGTCATCATCAACATAGAGGTGCTGTTTGAAACCAGAAGAATGGATGGGCTTGCCTGAGAAGGTAGTATAGGATAAAAAGAAAGGAGACACTGAAGACAGAACCTCAGTAAGTTGGCTACACTTGAGTGTATGCTGATGAAAGAAGAGTCAGAGGAGACGCTTGAAAATAGAGTGATAGGCCAGGTGTGGTGGCTCAAGCCTGTAATCCCAGCAGTTTGGAAGGCCGAGGCGGGTGGATAACCTCAGGTTAGGAGTTCGAGACCAGCCTGACCAACATGGAGAAACTTCGCCTCTACTAAAAATACAGAATTAGCCCGGCATGGTAGCACATGCCTGTCCCAGCTAGTTGGGAGGCTGAGGCAGGAGAATCATTTGAACCTGGGAGGTGGAGCATGCGGTGAGCTGAGGTTGTGCCATTGCACTGTAGCCTGGGCAGTAAGAGTGAAACTCCATCTTAAAAAAAAAAAAAGAAAGTATAGTGGTAGAGAAAGTTGGAATAACAGAATTTTTTAAATGAGGGTAATAATAAATATATGAATCTGCAGGGAGGCAATAGAAATAAAAAACTAAAATAGAATGTGGTCATTATTAACATTTTAAGGCTGGGTGTGGTGGTCCATGCTTGTAATACCACTGCTTTGGGAGGCTGAGGTGGGTGGATTGCTCAAGTTTAGGAGTTCCAGACCATCCTGGGCAACATGGTGAAACCCTGTCGCTACCAAAAATACAAAAATTAGCCAGGCATGGTGGCACATGCCTGTGGTCTCAGCTACTCAGCAGGCTCAGGTGGGAGGATGGTTTGAGTCTGGGAGGCGGAGGTTGCAGTGAGCCATGATTGTGCCACTGCACTTGAGCCTGGGTGATAGAACTGGACCTTGTCTCAAAACAAAACAAAACAAAATATTTTAGAGAATCACATAGCTTCAGTGAGGTGGTGGAACATAGATTATATGTAGATGAGTCAAGGAGTTAGACTTCTTTTTGAGAAATATATACAAGTATACGTCTCAAATGATCAGTTAAAGTTCGGTTAAAGAACTTCTTTAAATGGACTTTTTGCCTTTTAACTTCCGTTAAAGAACAGTTAAAAGTTCAGTTAAAAAAAAGGAGAGTTTAATTTCTTTCTTTCTTTTTTGTTTAAATTTTTGAGACTTGTTTTCAGTCGCCAGGCTACAATTGCAATGGCCTGATCATGGCTCACTACCGCCTCGAACTCCTGGGTTCAAGCAGTGCTCGTACCTCGGCCCCCTGAGTAGCTAGGACTGTAGGCAAGAACCACCATGCCTGGCTGATATTTACTGTTTTTTTTTTTGTGGAGACAGGGTCTTCCTATGTTGCCTAGGCTGGTCTTGAAATCCTGGGCTCAAGCAATCCTCCTGCCTTGGCCTCCCAAAGTTTTGGAATTACAGGTGTGAGGCACTGAACCCTGCCTGAATTTTTTTTTTTTTTTTTTTTTTTTTGAGACAAGTCTCATTCTGTCGCCCAGGCTGGAGTGCAGTGGCATGATCTTGTCTCACTGCAACCTCTGCCTGCTAGGTTCAAGCGATTCTCGTGCCTCAGCCTTCTGAGTAGCTGGGATTACAGGCACATGCCACCAGACCTGGCTAATTTTTGTATTTTTAGTAGAGACGGGCTTTCATCATGTTGACCAGGCTGGTCTCGAACTCCTGACCTCAGGTGATCCACCCACCTTGGCCTCCCAAAGTGCTGAGATTACAGGCATGAGCCCTGAATTTTTTAATGCAAAATGATTTTAGCTTTTACATGGTCAAAGAGAAAAAAACCACTGCATTATTAAAACCTAGCCAGGCACTGTTTCCAGAGGTGCCATTGTTTTGACTTATGTATTATAATTTTTTTACTTCTCTTTATAGTTTTGCCACCTATGGAAATAATCCTGAAAAATATTTTATTTTGAAAAGATAAGTAGTGTATCAAGCTAATTGAGTTAGGAAAGGGCAATATATCATACAGGAAGGCTTCCAGAAGATAGCTGAATAGTCTAGTAGCAGGTTCACTGAGTTTCATGAGCTTGTCTTCAGGTAATCAGTGAGCAAGGCCTTGAGTTCTTAGAAATGTTAGGCACAGCCTAGTGTGGTATCTGGCAGTGGGACAGTATGGGCTGGGTATTGCGTATTTGTTCAGCAGGTACATGGTCATATTTGTTCAGCAGATACATGAAGAGTGCTGTACTGTATCTTTTTATTTCTGAGCCCATGGTGATCTTCCTTCAACACATAGTAGATCAAAACACAACACATCTGGGGCATGAAATGTGTTCTTAGCTGATCCAGGCAGCAGGGCAGGTGGAGTGAATAGGTATATCAAGGCAAACCAAATATCAATAAAAATCTATAACAGACTGATCTGGGCATTCTGTCCTTAGGAACAAAGTTATCTTGGTGATGATAGTTATTTATGCTGTCTCAGGAGTTACATGGCTACATTCTGTACTGGTTGCCCTTTAAATTGGTGCATAGCTAGCATCCTGGAATCTCTTCACAGTCTTCCTGAAGATTCCTATTGTTTCTCTCCTATGTTGATTTTTTTTGTATCCTGTATTTGTAGTAGTTCTCTTTTTAAAAAAATTCACTGTCTCTTATTGATGGGATACATTCTCGAGTATTTTCTTGAGAAAGGATGCATGGAAGGTAAATGTTTGAGATTTTTCATATCTGAGAAGATAATCTTTATTCTACTTCTATAAGATGGTTTGACTGGGTGAAGAATTCTAGATTGTAAATAATTTTTCTTCATAGTTTTGGAGATACTGCTCCACTGTCATCATCCTTCTAGTATGACTGTTGAGAAGACAAGTCTGTGTCCTGATTCTTTAGAGTAACATGTGTTTTCTTTCTAGAAGCTTTTCTGTTCCCAGTATTATGATATTTTGGAATGATAAACCTTGATATATGTGTTCCTTAATTTTTCGTAGTAGACAGTTGATGGGTCCTTTCAAATGGATAGCTCATATCCTTCAGTCTTAGAAAATTTTGTTGATTTACTTCTTTCTTGCTGATTTCTTTCCAAACCTAGTTTTTCCTTTTTATTTCTTATTTTTTCCTCATGATTGATTTTTTTTGCAACGCCATTATTCAGATAGTGGACTTCCTGGACTGGTTGGTCATCCAATATTGCTATCTTTTCTCTCCTATTTTCTGTTGCTAATTTATCTTTTTTTCTCTGGCTCCTGGAGATTGCCTCAATTTTATCTTCCAAGCCTTTATTTTTTCATTTCAGCTATTGTGTCTTTAATGTCCAGGAATTCTTTTACTTGTATTTTAAAATGTTCTTTATTGAATCGTGATCTGTTCTTACTTTATGCATATAATATCTTCTGTCTGTGTGGAATATGAATATGTATATGTGCATTCTGTGTTAGAGGCTTTTCCTTGGATGCCCAGTAATATTTGGCTGTTTGCTCATGATTGAAAGTGATGGACTACAAAGCTAGTTGAAAACTCCATTTTGAATACAGTATGATACTAACAGCTGTGCCTATTATGCCTCAAAGATGCTGTTGTTTCCTCTCTGGAAAGTAACTGATCTTCTGTTCAGGTGGTGGAGGTCTGGTTGTTTAGCATCATGGAGGAGAGAGAAGGTCTAGGAATCAAAACACTTTCCAAATAGTTTTCATGGAGTCCTTTTTGTTTTAACCCTCTCCTATCTCCCTACTACCTGCTGTTCCATCATTTCCAGAAGCAGTTGGTGTTACTTTCTCTAGATTCTCTACTATACAGTGTGTTGTTTCTCAGCTTTTTTCTTTTCTTTTCTTTTTTTTTTTGTGCTGCGAGACTGATTTGGCTTTGCTGGGTAGACTAACCCACTCAATATTCATACAGATACTTTCAGTCTTCCAAGGTTTTGTTGTTCTTACCTCTTCCTGCTTGTTGCTCTCACCTCTTGTCTTGTGAGTTTAGGTATAAAATAGTCTTTTACTGTTGTTTTAGTTGGCTTTCATGAGTAAGTAAAATTATATGCATGTTTTTAATCTGCCATCTTAATCCTAAAGCACAGATTATTTAAAATGTTTAATCTATGTCTTGCCTTTTGAGACTTGAAAGGATTATTAAAGTTAGCCCTTTTCATCTCTTGTTTTAGCTTTTACATTCATATTTATAATATTTGAAACTCATTGTGTGGACTGCTCGAGACTGTATTAGCTCAAGGATTTATAAGTGAATCCAGAATTTGTAAATACAAAGGTTGATTGTTTTTTAAATTTGCTCTTGTAGGAAAGTGAAAAGGTTTCTGAATATCCAGCAGTGATTGTGGAGCCAGTTCCAAGTGCCAGATTAGAGCAGGGCTATGCAGCCCAGGTTCTGGTTTATGATGATGAGACTTATATGATGCAAGATGTGGCAGAAGAACAAGAAGTTGAGACCGAGAATGTGGAAACAGGTAGACATCTCATAAAATGTTCATTATTTCTAACTTTCTCATTTTGTAAGCTTCAACAATACTATTGCCAGATGAAAAATATACTGAAAATTCTCGTTTTAATGCTATTTAGTATAGCTTGGAAACCAGTGAAACATCTCTGTTTGAGGGAATTTGTGTAGATATAAAAGTTCTACAGTATAATTCTGTGAGGTCTAACCATCTTATGTCATGCACAAAATTACAGCTTCACATAATGATAAAGTTATTTTATTATTTTTTTCTGGGAGTATAAATACTAGCTTTTACTTATAAAGTCAGTAGGCTAGTATTATGAGAACTTTTTAAATTCCAAAAATAAATGTGGTATTCTTTCATTCTGTAATTGATTATGAGTTTCTTTGAGTTAATATTGATGGAGCAGTATGATTTCTTATTTATATCAGAAGCATCTTTATAGTGTTCTATCAGTTTCTTCTTTCCTTTTTGTCTTCTTAGAGATAGTATTTCAGTCTGTTTCTGGTGAGATAGCTATATGTTTAATTGGGGATTAGTATTTATAATTCTTAGAGAAATGTGTTAGTTTTTGCTATTGATTATGAAGAAAATAGAGTATTTTTTTTTCTTTTTTATTCAAGCTGATCCTCTTACAGAAAATAGAGTATTTTACCAAAAGGATTTTAGTGACTATTATATAATAATAAATATGCAAATGTATCCTTATCTGTTAATGGAGAAAAAGAATCGTTATACTTGTTTTTTAATCCTAGTAAAAATTCTTTAATATTTAGATACATTTTTATAAATGTAGCAAACTTTCATGATTAAAATTTTGAGTATGTGATGTCTTTCTGCTCATGAGGTCTGGTAGCACTCCTTAGGGCTACTAGCTTCCTTCAGCTTAAAACTGTTCTAATTTTATTTTTGTGGAGCTAAGGGATTGGAAGTTATCTTGCTTTTCAGAGCATTGATGATTGCAGTGCAAGCAAATGCCAGGGGTAGTGGAATCCATTCAAAACACGCAGCCAAGCTGGGTGTGGTGGTATGCACCTGTATTCCCAGCTACTTGGGAGACTGAGGCAGGAGGCTCGCTTGAGGTCAGGAGCTTAAGCTCAGCCTGGGCAACATAACAAGACCCTATTTCTAAACAAATAAACCAATAAAAAACCAGGCATCCAGGCATTTCAAATGGGCTTCATGACTGTAGTTTTGAGTGGTATCTGGTTTACAGTACCTAATGTATATCTTTTTATGAGCGTTTAGAGAGTTTTCCAGTCTGAAGCTAGAAGTATAGTGGCAGAGGTGAATTTTCTTCTTGAGAAAGGATAGATAGAACAGTTAAAAGTATTTTGTACGATGATGTTTTGGATTATATATTATAACTGATTTTATTATAAGAGTACAACTACACAGAACACTAATAGCAGAAGAAAAAAATATGGTAGTATGAATGAAAAAAGTAGAACCTATTTGAAATTTCTGGCTGATGCTTTGGTAAAAAAAAAGAATAAGGAAAACTATGATTTTGGTAGCAAATTGGAAACTTTAAAAGGATAAAAACTACAGCAGCAAATTTGCCTGAGTCTGTAAATTAGGATGTTTATCACAATAAAATACTAGAGCAGATTGGCTGAATCTTATAATTTGTATAATTGATTGTAAATATTTTATTAATTTAGATTAATTCAGGTAAAACCAATTCAGAATAGGAAGTGAATATAATCTACCTAAGGGATTTTATTTTCTTAGTCTTCTTGAACTCTGAGGGTAATGATATCATTTGCTGGGCAGAGATATTAAGGATTCTGAAAAGGAGGATATGGGAAGAAGTCTAGGTAAAATAACAGTTACTTTGGTAATTTTTTTTTGTAAGTGTGTTTTGAAGATTTGATAATAATTTTTCAATTTCAACACAAAAGAAAACGTAAGCAGATTACTTAGCTTGTTCTAAAATGGTGTAAAAGCACCTCAAAAGTTCATCGTACATATTTAATTTCATTCTGGCTCTTGGATTTTAATGTAACTTCATAAGGGTTATTAATAATCATAGATTATTCTGAGCTTAATATTGTTTATGCATATTTTCTTTTAGGTAGTGAATTAAGATTAGATTCATTTCTTATAATGATATAAAATTGAAACAGATTACAGATACATGTAGGTTTTGAAGAAGAAGCTGACTGGTAAGAAAAGGAATACTTAGAAGATGGCAGATTTTATTTGGTGAATTGGGGGAATTGAGATCTATATAGAATACTTCCCTGTGTATGCCTAGGAAAACTTTATGGGATGCTCCCAAATTATAATTTAGATTATATCAGTCTAAAAAAATGTTATAATTATGTTTACTGACTTGATCTGTCAGTTCTCTACATGTTCACATTGAAGTGTTTTTTCCCTTTTATTCCTAAATACCCATATATATATGTCCGTACTATAAACACTGTTCTGTTGTCATCTGGCTTCGAGTACTAAAACGATATAATGATTTGCATCCAGCCATCTTTATTATTTTGTAGATAAAAGAACTTCTCATTTTGTTAGTAGTAATTATGGGCTGTTTGTTTCTCCTTTTTGTAGACTTAACAGTCTACGTTTCCCTCACAGAGCTTATATGTAATACTTATGCTCTCTTTTTTTTGAGACGGAGTTTCGCTCTTGTTACCCAGGCTGGAGTGCAATGGCGCGATCTCGGCTCACCGCAACCTCCGCCTCCTGGGTTCAGGCAGTTCTCCTGCCTCAGCCTCCTGAGTAGCTGAGATTACAGGCACATATCACCATGCCCAGCTAATTTTTGTATTTTTAGTAGAGACAGGGTTTCACCATGTTGGCCAGGATGGTCTCGATCTCTTGACCTCGTGATCCACACACCTCGGCCTCCCAAAGTGCTGGGATTACAGGTGTGAGCCACTGCACCCGGCCCTACTTACGCTCTCTTAAATTGTGTAGGAAAAACCAAATATATTTTGAAACTTAAGAAATAGGCATATTCATCTAAAACTTTAGTAAATTGCTTGTGATAACAGTTGCAGATTAGTAGTTATAAAGAGCATTTGAGGAAGAGTGATGAAATATAGGTGAAGGGTGGTCTTGACTCTGGCAAGTATAAAGTATCTTCCTCAGTGGCAGCAGCCTCCATCAGTTCTAGGGGCCTGCTGGATAGACTTGTGTGATGAGTGAGGGGAGGAAAGGAGTTTTTTGGATTCCCTATAGGAGTTTGAAAGTACAGTTTTTATGTTCATGTTTAAGAATTATATATAAATTTAAAAGGTTGTACAAATTACCATTTAACAAGTACCACATTTATACCAATGAACTCAATAATAAATGTATGTTGACAGAAATCTTTTAAGACTGGACTAGGTCGGGTGTGGGTGGCTCATGCCTGTGATCCCAGCACTTTGGGAGGCCTGGTGGTCGGATCACGAGGTCAGGAGTTTGAGACCAGCCTGACTAATGTGGTAAAACCCCAACTCTACTAAAATTACAAGAACTTAGCTGGGCATGGTGCTGCGTGCTTGTAATGCCAGCTACTCAGGAGACTGAGGCAGGAGATTGCTTGAACCCTGGAGGCGGAGGTTGCAGTGAGCCGAGATTGTACCACTGCACTCCAGCCTGGGTGATAGACTGGACTAAGAAGACTGAGCTATTTAGGATTTGCTGCTTCATCTTTCATCTTAACAAATACTTGTTACTATATTTATCCTCTTAACTTTCCACTTTAGTTTGTGAGAGCAGATTATATCTACATTTGTAATGTGCAAGGTACTGTTTTCAGCATGTTTCTTTTCAGGGGGAATTAAGTTGTGGAGATAAAAAAATATATATTATATTCAAAATACAAAGCAGTCAAGAGTCAAATGAGCGTTATTTACAAATTCAAAGGAATTTTCAGAAGAGGAAAGTTCAATTTACAGGATTAGGGATGTTTTAGAGAAAGTGAAGGACACGTGATAGGATTTAGATGGACAAATAGGAGGTAGGTGAAATGCACTGTAGTGAGGAAAATATAATTAATAAATGAGTAGACTATTAAAATTCAATGCTTGTCTAGAAGATTTGAGTAAATAAGACATTGGCAGGAGATTTCATTAAGAGCTATGACTAGATTCTGAATTAAATCTCAAGAGTTAGTAATGAGGCATATAAGAAAGCAGAAAGACTTAGAAGGTTTTAAGTAGAAAATACTAGGAGGCCAGTACTTTAGGAGGCAGAGGCAGAGGTAGGAGGATCTTTTGAGTCCAGGAATCAAGACCAGCCTGGGCAACATAGTGAAACTCCATCTCTTAAAAAGAAAATTAGCCGGATGTGGTGGTGTGCACCTCTAGTCTTAGTTACTTGAAAGGAAGGCCAGAGGATCCTTTGAGACTAGGAGTTTGAGGTTACAGTGAGCTATGATCATAGTACAGCTATGCTTCAGCCTGAGCGACAGAGTGAGCCATGTCTCTAAAAAGAAAGTACCATGCACTTAGTATTTCAGTTGGATATAGGATTAATTACAGGGGGAAAGATGAGACAGGAAGACTAGCTGTTGTAGTATGAGTTGAAGGATGACTTGAGAAATATTAAAACTAGGTAGTAGCAACAAGAACAGAAAGGGCTTAGATAAACCATACTACTATATAACATATAATAGGGTCTTATATGACAGATAAGGGGGGAGAGGCATAGTTAGGTAAAATATTATTCTGCTTTTTGACCCTGAGGGATGGTGATAGTAGCACATATGATTTGAGGAAGGCAAGATAGTGTGGTGAAGCAGATAAGTTTGTTAATAGTCATGAAGATTTTGAGTTGAAGCAGAACATCTATGGATGAATATTTAGATATTTAAAGATGCACAAATTTGACCTGGTGCAGTGGCTCACGCCTGTAATCCCAGCACTTTGGGAGGCCGAGGCAGGTGGATCACTTGAGGTTAGAAGTTCAAGAGCATCCTGGCCAACATGGTGAAACCCTGTCTCTACTAAAAATAGAAAAATTAGCTGGGTATGGTTGTGCAGCTACTTGGGAGACTGAGG